GTGCCAGTGCAGGGGAGCTGTTGCCCGGGACACGCGGGACCCTGGGGACAGACATCCGAATGCCCCCCACGGGCTCTGCATGGGCTGGGTGACTTGGGCCGGAGGAAGGGGCCACAGCTGACCCGACACGGGTGCCAGGACGGGGTCCCCACTGCTCAGGTGTCCGGGCTCCCCGCCTGGCCGGAGGCAAGGTGGCCTCTTCCCTACGGCCGGGGCGGCCCGCCTGGCTGCGGCCATGCGCGCCCACAGCTCCTGCTCCCGGGCGATGCTGGGGAGCCGGCCCACGTGCGTCTGTGTCCTGCGTCCTCTGTGGCCCTGCCCCCACCAGGGGGAAGTGAGCCGGCCGGGGCTTTGGGGGCCCACGAGCCCAAGACCACAATCCAGGTGGAAAGTGACAAGGGCCACTCTGGTTGAGCTGCCAAGGGCCAGGGCCACCGCTGCTGCCAAGTGTGTGCCGCGTGGAGAAAGGGGGCCGGGGGCAGGGAGCCCCGGCCAGGCTGGGCCCTGACCCCCGCCCGGGCCGCGGAGGCTGCAGCCCTCAGCGCCTTTCTGTGTCCTGCCGCAGGGATGCCCGAGGGGCCGTCCGTGCGGCGGTATCACGCTCTGGTCGCCCCCTTTGTGGGGCAGCAGGTGGTCAGGACCGGGGGCAGCAGTAAGAAGCTTGACCCTGCCGGCTTCCAGTCCCTGTGGCTCCAGGACACCCAGGTGAGTGGGCACACGCCGCCCTCCTGCCCCGGGTGACAGTGACGGTCCCGTGACCCCGAGCACAGGCAGGGAGGGGTCCTGCGCCCGTGGGGAGCCCCGGCCCTAGCCCCTCTGCTTTGGCGCACTGGGGCTCTGGGCCGCCGCGCTTCCTCTGCTCGCCCCCCGAGGCCGAGGCCGAGGCCGAGGCCACCGTCCTGAGGAGAACAGGGCAGCCGGGGTCCAGCCGCCTCACCTGTAATCTGAGCGGGCGAAAGGGGAGGCAGAGGGGACCTGGAAGCTCGTTCAGCCCTTGGAAGGGCTTTTCTGGACCCCACGTTTGGCCCCGTGTGCACACGTCTCCCTGGCCACGCTCCGGGGCGGCTGGGAGGCGGGGACTTGCGGCCCCAGAATCGGGGTCTGGGGCAGGGAGCGGGCGCAGCGGCAGTCACAGTCGGCTGGCCAAGTCCTGGCCAAGGCCGGGCGGGGCGCTGCGGAGGACTCCTGGGCCCTCGCTGGGCCACGAGCTCACGCCCATCCGAGCTGGGGGTGGGGGGCGGCAACCCCTCTTTGTGCTTAGAGTCTCAGTCGGCCCCCGGTAAAAATACCTCTAGGGCCGACGCTCTGGAGTTAGTCCTTTCACCCCAAGTTGTATCCTGTGTGTTGGCTCCCCAGAAAGAGCAGCGGCCCCTTCGGCGCTCGCCCCCCGCCCCGTCCGCAGCCCGAGACCCCTCCTGCCCCCTGGAGCGCCCTGCTCTGCTCCGGGCGGGCGGCAGGCGTCCCCCACTGGCCCCGCCGAGTGCGTCCCAGCCTGCCTCCGACACGCCGGGACGGGATCACCCGAGAGCCCCCCACCGCCCGGCGAGGGGCCGGCGGCAGCACGCGTCTGGGCGAGGACGGGGCCTGGCGAGGGGGGTGTGGGCGGGTTCACCCGGCGCTTAGCCCACGGCCAGGAGTGCCGCCGGGAGGGTCCCGGGCCGGAGACCTCGGCTGCTTGCACGGGCCGGCTGCGGTCTCTGGCTGCTGGCCAGGCGCTGCCGGCGATAAAGCCAGGTGCCCGCTGTCCACTCCTGCAAGGCCCCGAGTCTGGCCACGGCACGTGGCGCTCAGGTGCTGACTGCCCGGGCAGGCCCGGAGCCAGAGCGTCCTCCACGTGTGTTGGGGAGCAGCCCCACACTGCGTGCGATGCGGGCACAGGTCACACTCCGGAGGTGTATGGGACCCCTCCCGCCAGCGTTTCCGCCGCACCTCACCGCGCCCTCCGGGAGCCTCAACCTGGGGCCGGTGGGCCAGGGCGGAGGCGCGGCTGGGTGTCTGGTGAGGCTGCCGCTTCGTGCAGAGACCCCCTCGGTGGAAAGGGTGTGGGCGAACCCCATCCGTGTCCTCTCGCCCTCACCCCCTCGTCACCCCCACCTCCTCCAGCCACGCGTGGGTTAGACTTTGCTCTGGGGGGCAGTCGGAGCAGAGGATGAGACCTGTGTTCGTTTTTCCTAGGTCCACGGGAAGAAATTATTCCTTAGGTTTGATCCAGATGAAGGAACGGGGTCCCCTGGGGGCCGCCCACTGCCCACGCCTCCCCCCGGGAGGGCAAGGGAGGTGGGGCCCGGTGGCCAGCAAGTCTCTGCCCAGCGCGCCTTGACCCCGCCGCCGCTCAGCCCCCCGGGAGACGCTGGAGCCCAGAGCCCGGGGGGAGCCGCCCCCGCGGGGGACGCTGGGCGCTGGCTGCAGGTCGCCTTCGGCCTGTTCGGCAGCGTCCGGGTGAGCGAGTTCTCCAGGGCCAGGAGAGCCAACAGGAGGGGCGACTGGACGGACCCGGTGCCCAGGTAGGGGCATCGCGTGGCCTCGGCTCTGGGGCGGGGCCTGGGCTTGGGGAGCCCCCGGAGGTGTGCCGTGCCCCCACCAGGCCCGAGGGTGCGGGGGAGGGCTGGGAGAGGCCCATGTCTTCTCTCTTCCGTGTGTCCCTCTGCCCACATGTCCCTCTGACCCAGCGCCCCGCTTCCCCGCACCTTGCCCCACAGCTCGGTTGCGCGCGGTGCACAGGGCGGAACAGGCTGTCCCCTGCCTGGGCAGGCTGCCGGAGAGCGGCCCGGGGCCAGGGCGCCCCACCGCCGCCTCAGGTGCCAGCAGTGACCTGCCACCGAGCTCCCCCCCGTGCCCAGCCCAGGTGCTGGCACAGGCCAGCTGGCTGTCTGCGCCTGCCCAGCGCCCGGGAGCCAGGGTTCCGCGCGGCCGCCCCGCTGGCTCGCTGGCCAGGGCAGCACTGGAGCCAGAGTGGGCCGCCCCGGGGCGAGGGTCACCGCGGAGGCCGTGCGGGCAGGCTGCTCCCAGATGGTCACAGGGTCACCACCCGGCGCTCACCAGAGGCGTCCTCCCCGTGCGGCCTCGGTCGGTGGTTCCCGGGCCGGCCCTTCACGGCGCTGCCCCCACCGCAGCTCGCCCAGCCCTCAGCTGGCCAAGCTCCCGCTCGGGGCGGGCC